ATTTGGAGTTATTTGTCTTCAAAAGGTGTTCTGGTGAATGTTTCAGATCCCGAACACACCAACAGTTCACCACTCAGACGTCTCCTCTTGATTAGACCTCATCCAGGAACAGCGTGGGCTTGTAGAAAGGTTTGTTTTTTCTCTTTCCTGGAGGTTTTCTTTCCGTCTTTTTCATATTTTTATAGAACAGGCTTTGATTGCTGTATATAGAGTCCTGCAGAGCCTCGTCCAGCTGCCACCTGAGCAGAGCACTAATCAGCCAGAACACATAGAAACACCTCTTTAACATCTCATCAGTGTCACACAACACAAAACATGACAGGTTCCTGCCCTGGATAGTAAAATAAGGTGCAGTTCCTAATAAATGTAATTTATCTTTCTGCTTTGGTGATGGCCATCTATTTTTATAGATTCCATCTGCTTAAAATTACATTTTGTCCTTCTCAGACTGGTGTTCTGGTTTGCTGTTCATGTTGCTCTGTGATGTCACATTTTGGTTGGCTGGTTGGTTGGTTGGTTGGTTGGCTGGTTGGTTGGTTGGTTGGTTGGTTGGTTGGTTGGTGGTTGGTTGGTTGGTTGGTTGGTTGGTTGGTGGTTGGTTGGTTGGTTGGTTGGTTGGTTGGTTGACTGGCTGGTTGGTTGGCTGGCTGGCTGGTTCATTCATTTATTTATAGGTGAAGAATGTATAGTTTTGAGTGTGCTGCCAAATAGTTTGCCATCAAATTTGGTGCAGACTATTGTATCCTCCTCATAATGAGTTTTAAGAAGTTGATGCTCCTCTGACACTTAAACCATAAAGGTTAGTCAAGGCGGCAGCCATTAACCTGGAATGACATCAGGTTGAATCATCATAACATTAGCATCAGCATTTTGAATTTCCCCAATGGGATATCTATCTATCTATCTATCTATCTATCTATCTATCTATCTATCTATCTATCTATCTATCTATCTATCTACAAACCAAACAGCATCACCAATATTTTCTTCGTTAGCAACACTTGTGTATTTTTAAGACAAACTTCTCTCACTTTGCCTCTGAACTCCAGCAGCACTCTGTTTACCTCTAAAAAAAAGTAATGTTTTCCCACTCTTCACTCCTCCGCTCTATACTGTACAAAGCCGAGAAAAGTGACTCAGCCTTTTACATAAAACCCTGGATGAAGCTGTCATTATGGGGAAATTATTTTGGAGGAAAGTTGCTTCATGAAAGGCGTCGATTCTTTCAACAGAACCTCCCACCTCCTGCTGTCACGCAGCTGGGCGGCTGTCCTTTCCTCAGAAGTTCTTTGATTGCCGAGTCCCACGGCAGAGCGAAAATGGGCTGCGAGATTGAGGAAATTATCCTGAATAAGGTGAAATTGAGACGCGTACACTGGGATAATTACCAGTCACTGTGCTGTGTGCCAATCCTGTCCAGAGGCTTGGAGGTCCTGATTGGTGGGAAGCTGCACTCGGAGGCAGCTGTTTCTGTCTGTGTACACCATACGAACATATAAATGACGTGTTTACATGCAGCAGAGCGTCTTAAAGCAGCAGGTTTGTGGGGTTTTCCTGGTGAGCAGTGGTTAGAAGGAAGGACGAGCAGTAAACCGGTGAGCTGGTCGTCGTTGACTGATGCGTTTGAGGAGTGTGTCTGTGAGTTTTGATCCCATAGAAATCTACTGAAGCATCATGTCAGTGCTGCCTGTGATGCAGAGATGTCTGAACACACAGCGAGTCGCAGATTGTTGTGCAGCTGTAGACCAGTCAGACCGCTGATAAGGCACATGAGATGAGTCCAAACTGGACCATGCACTGTTGAAAAAAAAATTTAATTAAAAAAATGGAGAAAAAAAAAAAAATTAAAAAAGAGAAATTTTACATAATGTTTATAATTTAAAAAATAATTGTATTTCACAGATTTGCCTATAAAATAATATAAACAAATGACAACAAAAATGTAAATACTTGAAAATGTTATTAAAGAAAATATAAAATAATATACCTAATTTAATATAAATGTATTTAAAATACTGAACTACACTATAGAGAGACAGACTAATAGATAATACTAATGTAAAATAGCATTTAAATAGTTTTACATAATTATTATGATGTTTGTAAATGGAAATAACCATAAAACTTAAATTGTTTTAGAAAAAATTGGATTTTTTTAAACAATACATTAATACATTAATACATTAATACATTTCAGTTCACAAACATTTTCTTCTTATTTATTACATGAAACTGATAAATTCCAGTCTAATACTCTAAATGTATTTCTAACATTACACACCAATAATGACAATTAACAGAAAAGGAAGTATTGGTTCTGTTATGTCACGTTGATTTTGTTGTTAAATTAGAGATAACTTGTGTAATTACAGAATGATATAATAATTAATAATTTACATTATATTTATCTATCAATCTAAACAAAAAATAAATATCATTCAATAAACATTAAAAAGGCAAAATAAATACATGTGATCTCATGTAAACTGAAGGCTAGAAAAATGGAAAATTACTGTATTTTTATGAGATGATTATTTTATATTATTTAAAAATATTGTTTAAGGAATAAAAGCATTTTTGTAGCTGCTGAGAATATTTCACAGTTTTGTTTGTTTACAGTGTGGTACAGAGGAGGAAGGTGGCCTGATGATGATGATGTGGACGGTCAGCTGCGTCGCTTACTGCGGGAGGAGATGGTAGCAGGATGCATCATGGGAAGGCGTAGAGGCAGCGTAACGCTCTGGGTAACGTTCTGCTGGGAAACCTCGGGTCCTGCATCATGTAAATATTGTTTGACACGTTCCACCTTCCTAAACACACTGCAGAGCATCGTGGCAGCAGTGATGCAGCAGGATAATGCTTCCTGTCGCATTGTAGAAATCGTTCAGGAACAGTTTGAGGAACTTGACAAAGAGCTCAAGGTGTCGGCTCAGATTCAGAGGCTTGTGGAGCCCATGACTCGATGGGCCGGAAATGTTTGAAGGAGATGGTTAATGTACACTTCATATTATGCTTGATTCATGCATCTTTCTTAATCAGTTACTGGCACAACACACAGAGTAAATACTGATATTTATTGCTCTTATTTTTATTGTTCTAGTTTATTTCTTTACAGAGAGCGAAGATTCACCGGAGTCAAACTCCTACTTGGCCAATAAAACTGATTCTGCGAGAGCACATAACAGAAAAAAAGAGAAAATAGTTTGCTTCCTGTGTTTAATTATCATCCAATATATGAAGGAAAACAGAATACACAGCAATATATGTAGAAATTCCCTGTACGGTCACATAAATAGAATAAAACATGCACTGTTTTACTGCAGGGTCCAATTTTTCACCCTTGGTTGGTTGTTTTCCAACTGTCACAATATCAAACTGTGCAGTTCCTCCCAGCAGAGTTCTTCCTATTCGACATGCATTTACTTTCTCATTCTGCACAGAATCTCCTTCTCTCTTCACCGTTTCCTCCCGTCGCTTCCTCCTGCCGCTCGCTCCTCATCTGCTCCACCTTCCTCCTGCATCTCCTCCTCAGCTTCTCCACATTATAATTGGCTTGTTTGCTCTCCGCTCGATGGGATAATTAATATCAGGAAAACCCTCGGCTGTGCAGATTATCTCTATGCGCAGTCAGTCAACGCGGCCTCCTGAAAGAAAAACATCTTGTCTGTTTGTTTGTTGTGGTTGTTTTCCTTTTTTTGGGAAGTGAGAGCTCCTCAGAAAGGCACAAACATATCATTCAAGTATTCACAGAGAGCCTGACGCGGCTCATCGTGCCTACAAACAGCTTCAAAAACAGCAAGATGACTCAAGTTTTGGTGAATTAACGTGATCAAATCTAACCGACAGGATAAGTATAAAAAGAAGGAACAGAAGTGGTGGATGCAGACGTGAAAATGATGCTGATGGCAACAGAAAGAACAGATGGTGAAGCTCTGGAAATGAAAATGAGACAATAAAAGAAGAGGAGGGAAAATTAAGAGAATCCATCCATCCATTATCTATACACCGCTTAATCCTCACTAGGGTCACCTACAGACAATTTAGAATCGCCAATTAACCTCAATATATTTCTGGACCTTGTGGGAGGAAGCCAGAGAACCCGAAGAGAACCCACGCTGCACGGGGAGAACATGGAGACTCCATTCAGAAAGATCCCAGGTGTCCTCACTGGGAAGTGAACCGGCGACCTTCTTGCTGGGAGGCGACGGTGCTAACCACTGATCCACCTTGCAGCCCAAATTTAGCAGAATGGAAAAGAAAAGTAAAGACGTCAGGAAGGATATTTGCTATTATGTTTGTTCCATTGTGTTATTGGATCCATAAAGGTGCACAAATACGT